TTTTTGCACCAGTTCAGTGTCTCTACCGAGTTTCTACCATGTCACAGGCTGTACTTTGAAGTAAGATGTAATCTTCCGGTGCATGGCTTATCGGTTTGCTTTTCAATAACTTGCAACTACTGCCGTGGGTATTGAAATGCAATGGGATGACCGGGGCCGGTACCTTTACTGCTTTTAGCGCCTACGTGCACTGTAGTTCATGTATACGTTGTAAAAATGGACTAGCAGTGTGCACTAGCAGTGTGCACGGCTGCAAGTGTGCACGGCTGTAAGTGTGCACGGCTGTAAGTGTGCACGGCTGTAAGTGTGCACGGCTGTAAGTGTGCACGGCTGTAAGTGTGCACGGCTGTAAGTGTGCACGGCTGCAAGTGTGCACGGCTGTAAGGTCAGCGCTTTGGCCGCTTGACTTCTCACCAAATTTCGCTGTCCGCTTTTAGTGAAACTTCAGTATAATATTATTGTTGTGAGCGGACACAAATATGATTTCAACTGTGATGCTAAGGATAAAGGCTGCATTGTGTGTTGCTGCTCTCGAGCAATTTAAATTCAAAACTTCACTGACCCATAAGTCCATGTCTGTTTGCCGTGCTGCTAGGATTGCTGACCGGTTTGGCGGGAAGTTGCGACAGATTCTTATTGTGCTGTTCATGGCCTCAACGGTATTTTTCAGCTGGTTTGCGGTAACCGGCATTGACAAAGTGTCCATCTTTGAGAGTAAGTCGCTCCAGTTTCCAGTTCCACGTTTTGTCTACTGACCATGTGCTGACATGCGTACATGCTAGCTCACGACCAGGCACACCGCTGTATGTGGGAGAATGTAGGTAGTGTAAAACGGGTAACGTTTGCCGCACAATAAATGTTTGCGTTATACAAACTGAGACTGGTTTACGCTGTTTAATGTTTGCGAGTCGTTCTACAGTCGTTCTACACAGTCGAGTCAGTCCTTGCACTGAACTTTACATGGCGCGAGTTTGCGTTTTTCAAAGTTTGCGATTCAGAGCCTCTCGCAAAATTCGCAAACATTTGTTTACGTCGCAATAGTTACGCGTTTTACAGTAGTCTTCCAGGTGGCTGTGTGTAAGTGGAAAATTGTAAGAGGCAGAGAACCAAAGCATATTGCCTCTGTGTAAGAGGCAGAGAACCAAAGCATATTGCCTCTGTGTAAGAGGCAGAGAACCAAAGCATATTGCCTCTGTGTAAGAGGCAGAGAACCAAAGCATATTGCCTCTGTGTAAGAGGCAGAGAACCAAAGCATATTGCCTCTGTGTAAGAGGCAGAGAACCAAAGCATATTGCCTCTGTGTAAGAGGCAGAGAACCAAAGCATATTGCCTCTGTGTAAGAGGCAGAGAACCAAAGCATATTGCCTCTGTGTAAGAGGCAGAGAACCAAAGCATATTGCCTCTGTGTAAGAGGCAGAGAACCAAAGCATATTGCCTCTGTGTAAGAGGCAGAGAACCAAAGCATATTGCCTCTGTGTAAGAGGCAGAGAACCAAAGCATATTGCCTCTGTGTAAGAGGCAGAGAACCAAAGCATATTGCCTCTGTGTAAGAGGCAGAGAACCAAAGCATATTGCCTCTGTGTAAGAGGCAGAGAACCAAAGCATATTGCCTCTGTGTAAGAGGCAAAGAACCAAAGCATATTGCCTCTGTGTAAGAGGCAGAGAACCAAAGCATATTGCCTCTGTGTAAGAGGCAGAGAACCAAAGCATATTGCCTCTGTGTAAGAGGCAGAGAACCAAAGCATATTGCCTCTGTGTAAGAGGCAGAGAACCAAAGCATATTGCCTCTGTGTAAGAGGCAGAGAACCAAAGCATATTGCCTCTGTGTAAGAGGCAGAGAACCAAAGCATATTGCCTCTGTGTAAGAGGCAGAGAACCAAAGCATATTGCCTCTGTGTAAGAGGCAGAGAACCAAAGCATATTGCCTCTGTGTAAGAGGCAGAGAACCAAAGCATATTGCCTCTGTGTAAGAGGCAGAGAACCAAAGCATATTGCCTCTGTGTAAGAGGCAGAGAACCAAAGCATATTGCCTCTGTGTAAGAGGCAGAGAACCAAAGCATATTGCCTCTGTGTAAGAGGCAGAGAACCAAAGCATATTGCCTCTGTGTAAGAGGCAGCAGAGAGTAAGAATACCAGATACTGTAGGTCTACAAATTTTCCGCCCATTCAAATTTCGGCCTTCCTGGGCTAAACTTGACCCATTTCGGCCGCATCAAATTTTCGGCCAGTACTGCTGCCACCTGTATACACTGTCACACTGAACCTTGCAAAACAAAAATTTTGGCCGCAACAAATTTTCGGCCAAACATGACCAGGCCGAAAATAACCGAAAATAGATATGCGCCGAATATTTGTTGACTTTGTACAGTACATAACCACTGTATACCTGATCGGTGAGTCTTCCCCGCAAATGCTACAATCAGAATTGTGCATTTGTTTGTTATTTTAATTGTCTGTTGGTTGGTTGATCCAGGTGATATGCTCAAGAAAGTGTCATTCTACATGAGCTCCATCATAGGCGGTTTCTTCATCAACAGCACAATACCACTCTTTTTCGAAATGGCCGTCGAAGCTGCCTTTCCGATTTCTGAAGGAATTGCTGCCGTCATCATCATGCTTTCAAACAATATCTTCTCCATCGTGCTATTGTTTGCACTGCAGATTCATGGCATAGGTCAGTACCAATACCACTACAATGATGCAACGTGCATGAATAGTCAATGGGTGCATTTTGATTGCATGCAATTCCGTCGGTTCTAGAATCCGATTCAGTAACATAATAATTATATGCCCGCTGAATAATTCCGCTGCCAAAATCTATGGGATCCAACTCCGCTTATTATGAAGTCCGGGAATAATTTCTTAAACCACGAGAGGTAGCACACTTGACAGTTGAAACATGCTCTTTCCGACTCCACATTCACCTGACACCTGTATCAAAAAAAGGTACTTCTACATATGGTTGGCTAACGTCGGAATGCAACGAGGAGCTACAGTCAACTTCGCTAATAACGACGGCGGAAATAACGAAAATTCGCGAATAACGACAGAATTCCCATGCCCAGAGCAAAGTCCATTCTACCTGTATGCATATAATGAGACTTCGGGTATAACGACACTTCGCGAATAAGGACACTTTTCTGATGCCCGGCCGAGAGTCGTTATACGCAAAGTTGGCTGTACGTTCCTTTACAAACATGACATAAGAAACTGTGGTTTGGTGGCAGCGTTTGACTTTGAAGTCTCCTTTTTTTCTCTTGCAATGTAGCTGCCGAGGCCCAGACCACAATAAGCCTGTTTTGTGTAGTATGAGCAACAGAATGTTATATTCAGGGCACCCTACACTGCAGTTTCGCTATACATTGCATGTACCGGTACATGTACTTGAGTAGGCCCAGTGATTAAATGAATACTCTGATTACCGCATGCTGGGCACATGACTTACTACATGCATTGTACATGTAAGTGGCTACAGGAAAAGATTACTAGTATTCCAGGAAAAGATTACTAGTATTCCAGAAAAAGATTACTAGTACTCAAGGAAAAGATTACTAGTATTCAAGGAAAAGATTACTAGTATTCAAGACTAGGAAAGTATATGCGTTGACCACACGACTATTGCTTGAGATTGTACCTTGTGTGTTTTCTTGTTGTGTTCTTTCATCTCAAACTTGCACAGGGATCTCGTGGACAACGTGGTCGCTAGTTGGTTCATGTGCGTTGTCAATACCTATCCTGGCTGTGCTCAAGGATCGCTACGTACGCTCTTCTCTGGACGCAGCAGCCACGGCGGCGGCGGTATCAGTGCAAGCACGCTCTCCCAAGCCATCTGATGCAGGCGGCCGTCAGCCTCGATCATCGCGTGATGAGAGTGCTACACTGCGCAGGTCCATGACAATGGCAGCGGGAAGTTTGCGGAGAGACAGGATCCCCTCGTAGTACAGACATGTGCATCCCGCTCTTTAGTACACCATGCATGGTATACATACATGAGTGCTTTAGTACACCATGCATGGTATACATACATGAGTGCAGCTGCTCTTTAGTACACCATGCATGGTATACATACATGAGTGCAGCTGCTCTTTAGTACACCATGCATGGTATACATACATGAGTGCAGCTGCTCTTTAGTACACCATGCATGGTATACATACATGAGTGCGGCTGCTCACGCCAGACTGGTAGGAGATGCAAACCGTGATGAAGTACAGTGGCTCTTGAATAACAGGTCAGATAAGAGCGCTGGTTGAGTGCATGCACACCCAGCCAAACACCACCGTTCTGCCTGGTGTACAACGTAAGCTGCACAAACTGTCTGATGCTCTGATCAACGGCCAAGTATAGCTGGTGTTGCTTGTCAGACACGCCACCACTACACAAGCAATTCTGGCAGTCGAACAAAAGAGCTGTGCAGTGCTCAATCTTCCACATAGCATGCATAAGCGTGACCCAATCAAATCCACAAATCAGCCCTGAGCGAGTACTGCATTATGGTATTAGCTAGAGTCCAAAAGTGGGGCAACGGACTCTTGCTTTATGTAACTGCAAGCCCAGTGCCTGACAGCAAAACCTCTTAATTAATTATGTTCAGTACGTGCAGGGGTAATGTGTAGGCAAATCTGTTTAATAATTCTAATATCAGCCCTTGACTCTCGGCCAAACGAAGCAACCGCACTCATATCCATTATCATAATTATTTCCAACAATTTGGAGTAATATTGTTCTGTTTCGGAATGCTGCTGTGTCCATTATTATTCTATACACTTGTGAGCAAAACCCTGCTTTAGCATTCTTTCTTATGATTTGAAGTTTTTAACCATCGCCAAGACAACGCGTCCATTTCACCACATATAGCACCTCATGGGTTGACTGTACATCATGACATCCACTAAATCCACTGGGACATGTCTGTCGGTCTCTGGCTGGTTTCCAACGGGGTTCTTCTCTCCCGAGTCCTTGCCCATGCATTTGGCAAGAGCACAGGTAGTATTTGTATGCCAACACTTGCATTCTCCTTGCCTGCACAGTCCAAACTAGGGCTGAAACTATCGTGGATTTTCACCTATCGATTACTCTTGAGCTTAACGATCGATTTATCGATTATAACCGTTAGCAGATAGTGTCAGAATTTTGTGCAAACATTACACTGTTTCCGAAATCTAGGCCATCATAATACCACAAATTTGCATTAGTGACAGGGTAGCTCAGAAACATGGTAGTTATAAAGTCAATTTAACCTCAGAATGTGCACCATGCCACTGGCAACTGCATACTCACAGTGGAAACTGATTCAAACTTCACAAAACAAGGGTTTTCAGTACTTTTTGGACTCAAAATCCCAAACGAGTAATCTTTAACGTAACGATTACTTGATTGAAAAGGAATTATCGATCGCTTACCGAGTAATTGGTATAATCGTTTCAGCCCTAGTACAAACCCATCGACTAGCGCCACACAAAACCCAGCGACTAGCACAGACTAGCACACAAGCTGCAGGACAAGAACATCTAGAAGTAGAGAGCGTACTGTTAGCTCAAGGGTGTGGAAAACCCGCTTGAATAGAAACACTGGTGTGCATCACAGCCTGTCCTAGATGTCCTCAACAGGACTAGCGTACTGTGCACCAGAATAAGTATGACTCGAAATAGCTTGATCCACTGCCCACAGGTAGACGTGTTAGATTGTAAAACAGGCAAAAAGGAAAGAAAGGTTCAGCGGGGATACTATTCGGGAGGATAGAAAACTTAGCCTCAAAGGTCTGACAAAAGTCAATCAAGTGTCAACTGTCTAGTTCATATAACCATTGGGCTCTGGCCTTCACCGCGCACACACACACGCGCGCGCACACACACGCGCGCGCACACACACACACACACACACACACACACAGAGTGAATGGCGGTATTCAGGCACAAAGTGGTATGACGATTTGTCCCTGCACTGCACTACAAGGCATAGGGCAGAGCACAGTGCGCATACAACTGTTGACCATTGCATGGTACCGTATGTGCTGGCACGGAGCTGCAACCAGTATGGCCGCACCACACACCCTGTATACATCAGCAGCAGTGGACTGGACCAGTCTGCAGTGATGTTCAAACATTAGCTGTGCAGCATACAGTCAGTGCCCACCTTTGCCGTATCACGACCAAGCCACGGGCACAGCCATCACGAGAATACAACGGACGCATGCCAAAACAGGCCAGACGCTTGTCTAACTCATCTCCGGGCTGCTGACATGAAGGCCTCATCGTCACCTAGTTGTTTTAAAGCTCTAACCTCGTCCGAAGTGGACACCACCTTCATCAAGCTCATCTGCAACTGGTCGGATTAGCTGTAGCTGGTGAAATGTAGCTTGTCAACCTGCATTGTGATATCACCTCTTGCTAGTATCACCCTTTCGGAAAACTGGCGCTGGGCGACGTGCCTTGCGAGCTCGCTGGGAAGACTCTAAGAATAGGTACAACACGCGTGTACACACACATACACGTACACACACATATATGTACATACACGTACATACACGATGCACACACATCCACAGTTAGCAGTGCACATGATATTACACGCTTACTCATCCACACAACAAACAAAAAACCGTACAGACCAGTATGCCCAGAATCCTGAAGCCTAGACAAGACCGAACACATGGATGAGTGCCCAGCCTGAGATGTCAATCACCAAGACTTGCTGTTTATCACGAACATAGCTATAAACAAGTCCTCTCTCGCTCTCTCACTCACCTCTACTTCGCCGAATACGGCCTCCAAACATGTGCTGGCGCCGAAACTCCAATGCTTGCCGTTGCAAGTCATATGGTTCAGTGACAGCTGTTTGCGTGGAGACAGCAATGAGTTTGCGTCTGCAGAGGTTATCAACAGTAGCAACATGGTAATATAAGCACAATGCATCACAGTGTAGGCAGGTCCATCAAATCCACCACTGACCAGTAAACGGGAACAAACATTGGGGACTTGAGTGACTGTCAAGGCGTGTATAAAAAGTTATTAAAAACAAAGCCGGGCATATTCCTGTAGAGACCGAAGTGAGGAGAAGGCGTGTATTCAAACCTGGTATTTCACCCCAGCTATTTCTATGAATGTCGTCAACACGAAAACCAGGCAAATGCACCAAAGGTTCAACTTTCAAATCAAGCGTGTATTCAAAATAGGCTTCTACCTTGAAGTACACAAGACAGGCCTTATACAAGACAGTGCGGTAGCTCTCAATGTGTACAAACTGGTTTTTGTAAACTTAACTACTAAGAAATGAGGTCAGCTACATTGTACAATGATAATATACGTGTGCATGCATGTCATCCCATGAGCATACGTGTGCATGCATGTCATCCCATAAGCATATTGCCAAATAGAGTCAGTACAGTTCGCACATCCGCAAGCAATACCACCGTAATTGTGTTCAGAACCACAACCAGACTTGCAAGCTTTGCTTGTGCCATGCTGCCACCATGCCTGATTAGACCTAGATAGCAGATGCAGAGGCTAGCGGCTGTCATGGTATAAGTTTCACAACCAGTGCAGCTAGTGCCCGAGAGAAAGTGAAACATGACTAGCAGCATGCGAGTAGTGAGTAGCCAGCTGACCGTGGTCTTCGGCCAAGTTCACTGCATGTAAACTGGTTAACGTATGCATTACCTAATTCATTAGCACAGTGCAGTAGTGTCTGTCCTAAAATTGATAAAACGTGAAAAGGATTCCATTGATACCAAACAAGCACTTACTTCTTCAAGGGTTTCCCTGCCATTTTCTTCTTCTTCTTGTCCACAAAATACAGATTGCCATTTCTAGGATTGCCTGATTCTCTTGCCGCATCACCGTTCTCCTCATCTTCATCATCCTCATCATCAGATTCAAGATCGCTGACCATATTACTGTCAGAATCACTGGGTTCTTCCTTGGCACTGCCTTTAGCTACGCCATCCACTTCCTCTTCCTCATCACTATCCTCTCCATCATAGCTACCATCACTTTCTTCTTCCTCTTCCCCTTCTCCGCAGTCGCCCGAGTTGCCTGCTTCTTCATCATCGTCGTTATCTTGTGTTCCCGTATCCAACACTATCTTCTTCTGTGCTTCAGCTGCCGCAGCTTCTGCTGCCGCCTTGCTTGCTCTGCATAAGAGCGCAAATGTGCACAATCAAACACCAGCATCTGAATACCTTGAGGTACTGCCATGCGCCACACCAAATTCACCGAAAATAAATGTCACCAAAGTGTTCCTATATGCACTGTACAGTCGAGTACCGACACAGGCAAGTGTCCATAACCAACAGCTGTGCTTAGGAGATAGGCTGTGTGGCACGCTGCCTTCATCACATTATGTACCTGCATCACACCCTCTACTCATGCACTCGAACCTAGCATGGGCGCATTTGCTAGACCCGTTGAAGTACCACCGGAATCTCTACATTTTCAAGACATGAATTTCATTTCCTTCCGACAGTTGGTATCACACCACAGATGTTTGAGTTTCCGCAGTGTGCGAATATAGCCGCATGGTGTAGTGAGGGCAGCGCGCCGCACATGCGGCCCGTAGAAAAGAGATATCAGTTGCATACTCTTGGTTGTGGACTCTTGATACAGACATACACCATGAGCAACCAAGGCCAGGGATACTTCCAACTCATCACCATGAGCAACCAAGGCCAGGGATACTTCCACCTCATCACCATGAGCAACCAACGCAAAGCACACTCACAGATGAAAAGGTGTACCTGCACTTGTGCCATTACAAAAATCAAGTGTGGAAGACACCTATTGGCCATATCGCCGGAGCTAGAGCCAGACTTTCGACATGGAATATCTGGCCAAAATCGCCCCTACGGCGTATATCCAAACAAACAAGTTCATACAAATACAAGCTGGAATGCGACATGTTCCTCCAAAAGTAGAGGGGGGGGGGGGGGGGCTACATGTATATACCCTGATGCAACTCTGATCCCCAAAATATGGTAACAGTGCTTGTCAAAATTTGGACAACAAGGTAATTTTGACTCCGTGCATTTCACATCCAGGGTACTCTAATTTCAGAAATTTTCGGTGCTCAATATTTTCGGTATGAGGGCAAAAGGCCAGGTTAGGTGAACAGAAATTTTCGGTACAGAGAAGCAGTTCCCTATTGGATTATGTGTGTTAGTGTTTGTTCGGTGTATTGAAATTTTAGGTATGAAACAGACACACCGAAAGTACCGAAAATAAAAGTACACCGAAATTTGTGAAATTACAGTATTGTACAGTGCTCAGCTGAGGTCATCAGCCAGAAATAGACTTGCGAAGCTGTGCACTATACTCACAAGGTATAGAAGTCTGTGTGTCAGTGAAAACGCTCCCTATGATGTGCCATTCAGTACTGATTGCTTTTTTGGGTGTCTTGGTGAAGTTAACCTGCAAATGGCTTCAGGGTGAACAAATTGCGCACCCAACCGCTTGCAGGCTGGTTGCTGACCAATATTGGGTCGGTTTCACTGATTTCAACGTCATTCGGAAAGTGTCACTGGACATTGCATGGTGCAAAATAATAAGCTTCGCAGTACCCCATGTATTTGGTGGGTCCTGCTCTCTTTATGTCCTCTATTCTGCACTCTCATCCATACAGCTTGGGATCATTTCTTCTTCGTAATGCCTACCTTGTCCGAGCTCTAGTTCGTTGTTTCAACTCCTCTGTTGACTTTGCACGAGCGTCGCTGAATGAGATAGCCTCTGGCGCCTCGTCATCACTGCTTGTGCCTCTCTCCATTGCAAAGAAAAGGTAAGAGCTTGAAAGCTATAATTATTTCGAAGTACAGCCAGCTAATCTACTGCATAATCATACTGAGGAACAAACAACCAAGGATGCTATTCGAACTGTAGAATAAACTGAGCTTCTATACACTCCTATGGTGGAAGAAACTCTACTTCTTGAGCTCTCTTTCAATAATACACACGTACACGTAGCTTGTAGATCTACCAGGTCCAGGCAGGAAATAATTTTGAAACGAAGATGTTGTGTGTCACAAAAGCGAAAAATGTGAATCCAAAAAAAGCAGGGAGTCGTAAAATATTTTACGACTCCCTGAAAAAAAGCGAAAAATCGCTTGCTAGCTGCGTGATCGCGCGCCATGTTTATCATGGCAACCCTCCTGGACAAAAAGTCTACAGTCCATTCATAAAAAAGGCGAAGGACTAAAGGGACCCTCACTTAATTTTTACAGACTTTCGCGGCAAAAAACACATTTCGACACGCGTGTGTGCTGGACGTCTGCGCGTGCACGACAAGACGTGTGAGCTGGCTGACAAGTGAGAGCCAGGGAGTCGCCAAGTACCGGCGTTTGACGACTCCCGGCCTGGTGAGAGCATGCATGCATGATGCATGTCCAGCTGGCGGGAAAGGGAACCTATTTTGTAGATCGATGGGTTGAATGTGAAATTGTGGATCTACACGAGGTTTGTTTTGATGTTCTGATACTTGTTGTAATGGCTAGTGATCTTGCAAACTGTTAACTGTTACTGTGACTTTTCCAAGTCCTACTGATATACCTTGTCAAAGCAGATGCCCTGTAGTAGTCTTGGTGGAGGCAGACTGGAATGCGTTGAATTCGTAGCTTCTGAAATTGAAATTTATTTTTTCTTGAGTGACACTGACAAGCGATGGCATTGGCGACAGGAGAACTTTGCTTCCTTCCAGGAGAGCTGCATCGCAGTCGGATCCTGTCCATGCACATGCGATCATGCTGTGTTGTAGACAGTGGAGAGAGCTAATTTTGACCCAAGAAAATAGTTTTGAACATTCATGAAGAGGATATTGTTGCTGTAGCTAGCTGACAGACATAGCCTGTGGCAGTGGTGTATGAAATCAGCTTGCAAGGTCTGTAGCAACTTGATCATGCAGAGAAGGAGCTGAACTGCACACGCACTCGCTACTGCTCTCGCAAGATGATTGGCTTCTCTCCAGTGATCCAGCCCCCTCAACGCATGGATCCACTGCGCTTTGTCGTCGAACACATCAACACGCCTGTTGACGTTCACTGGGAAAGGTATCACTTCACGATGAGGAGCACACAGCACTCGTGGAGGCTTGTGCCGGGTGAGTGGCTTCTCTCCAGTGATACAGGCCACCTGGAGGCATCGGGCCAAGTGCGTTCTTTGCCGCAAGGGCCATATCAAAACAGCAACACCAGCAATGCCACGACTTCCTGACTTCAAGATAACTGGACCACATCAGTCATTTGCCATAATTAGTGTCGGCTATGTCATCCCCTTCTATGCACGCCAGGGTCGAGATCGGTCACAACTCAAAGAGATATGTATGTGTGTTTACATGCCTGCTGACTAGGGCTTGTCATTTCGAGGTTATCTCTGGACAACGACGGTTTTCTCCTGGCTCTTAGACCCCGATTCACCGTGCGACGTGGTGTGCCACAAGAGATGCAATCGGACAACGGTACCAATTTCCGTGTGGCTGATCAAGAGGTAAAAGCAGCTGTCAAGTTTCTCGACAACTTCAGACTAGCAGCAGAAAGGTCATACCGCGACATTACCTGGTACTTCAAGCCACCAAGTGCACCACACTTTGGTGGTGTGTTCTAGGTAATGGCCAAGGCAATGAAACTAGTGCTGCATGAAGACCTTCAGCTGCTATTGCCACAACACTTTCTCATTGGCCATGCTAGGGCAACTGTTGCTGCTGAAGCCAACACATCTACAATGACTCAAGCTCACCCAAGAAAGCGCTGGGAGTTTGTGCAACGTATTGTAGATCAGGTATGGAAACGTTGGCTGAAAGAGATTGTTCCGAAGCTAAGCATCCAAGTGATGTGGTTGCTTCAACAGCATCACCCTAAGGAGATATCGTGCTTGTGATGGATAAGCACACCGCAACTGCACACTAGCCACTTGGACGTATGCTTATGACCTATCCAGGTAAGGATGGTGCTGTTCGGATAGTAGAAGTTTAAGTAGCTGGGAAGGTATACAAGCGTGCAGTTCATCATCTTGAGCCACTGGAAGTTAAAGGTGCAAGTACTGAGCGAACTGTGATTGTTTTCATATTCATAGTAAAGAAAAAAAGACCAAAGAACTACAAGTATGCTATACTGTCCACTAACACCACCAGTTACTTGACAATCAGCTCATGCAATAACAAGAATTATAACATTGCACCAAACTGACCGACAGTACAGTCAAATCTGCCGTTAGCGACCTCTGCTGTAGGCGACCATCTACCGTTAGCGACCGATTTTCCGTGCACCGACGGTTTCACATACAAACTGATCTGTCCAGAGCGACCATCTGCTGTGCGCGACCAGCGACCGCGATTTCATGCACGGTGGCTGCATTCAAATCTGCTGTGAGCGACCGCGACCCAGTTTCAGTCAGGTGCGAAACTGTACTTGCCAGTGCGCTGTCACCTGCAAAGTGTGAAAATGCACTGTCTTGCAAGTGCGATCGACTGGCGCCTGGCCTCGTACTGAGGCTGTGCTGTAGCTCTCAAGTCCAGGCAGT